CCCTCACCAAACGCCTACGAACATACGCCGCAGCAGCCCACCCATTACAGTCCAAAGATAATTGACCGTTACAGTGAAGAGTATTATAACACAGGCACAAGCAATAACAATGGAAACATCACATCAATATTCAGCGATGAGAATCCAAACGCCTGTACCTTAATGTGAGAACCAGAATACCACACTCGGTTTTCCCAGAAAAATTGTTCCTTTTTTCCTTTTCTTTTTCCTTTTTCTCGGGAAAGTAAACAGACCCATCTGGTAAAAATCTACAGTTCACTGTTCAGTGGGGGAAGGGATTAATGTACAAGACATTTTGATGGGCACGCAAGAAAAACGAATGAGATTCCAAACGTGGGAAGTGCTGGAAGAATCAGAATCAGAATCAGATCCCAAATTCCACTTCTTTTTGTGATAGATAGATAGATGATAATCGCCTGGAGAACATTCTTGTAAAAGGTGAGACGTGGGAATCTTGTAAAGTTGTAAACATTTTATGGCTTCAATCCAATGGCTTCGAAATGTTACAGAAACAATAAAGTTCCAATATTTACTCAAAAACAGCAAGCGATCCGATCAGACAGAATGAAATGAATTTCTGGTCTTCCAGATATTGAATCTTCAGATCTAATTCTGCAGCTCATTTAACCATTGAATCAAAAAGAACCCATTGACCAAAACTGAGAACCCAAACGACAAATGTCCCAAACCAATCAAAAGATCAGAATCTAGAATCAAATTCAGGCAATGTTTCCAGCCGGAGCTGCACCAATATAAAATGTTAAAAAGGACAAGAAGACATTCAGTCTTTTACATTACAGCAGAAGCTGTCGGATTCCATACTAAATTTAGAACAAAACCAATCGATCATGTCAATAATGTTTGAATAATTCAAGATAATTTAATGTGGGATGCAAAAGCACATGTGAAAGGACAGTGAAAGATAAGACCCAAGAAACGCTGATGGAATAATGCAGGTAGATGTATAGTATAGCTGACCAGACCAGTCTGCTAACCATTCAGTCATCAGTGAGAGACAGACCAGTAATTAGTTGACATGTGGCAGCCTGTTTGCATACATTGTGAGAATAGAATCTATGGAAGAAAATGTTGAGAAAGGATGATCCATTACTAAACAAAACAGGAAGAGAAGAGAACGACTAAGTGAAATGTATACTTGAAATGGAAAAAAAAAACACCCAGCTTAAATTACTTAACAATTTCACAAGCAGTAGAGTGTCACCAAGATCCCTTTATTCCAATCACTTGGCTCCACGTGAATTGCTTTTCACATCAACTAGTTTTTATCCTTTCAGCCCTTCACAACAAATGAACAATTTACAGTGAAATTACAATGCACAAAGCTCTTTAGATGGGGAAGGAGGGAGAGAGGGGGAATAATTTAAAGAAAAACAACACCGACGATACCGAAAGACCTGTAAAAATCACTACCAAAAATTTCCTTACACGTGAATGAAGAAATGAAGCTGTACAAATAAATCTGCAGACCGCAACATCGGAAGAAAAGCAAATCTAAGGGAATGAAGAAAACAAGTAATCTAGACATGTGATTTTTATTTGAAAGAATCTGGCTTGACTTGGAGAAGGCAATGATTGAAAGTTTTGGTTTCTTTTTTTTTTTCCCTCGTTTAGAATGGTGGTTGAAATATATATTCTTGTAGCTTGGGTTGGATGGAAAGGGTTTTTCATAAGACAGCAGTTTTTCCACTTGAATTGACAAGGGAAGAGGCTGCTGCTGAGGAAGAAATTGAAAATGGAGTACTGAGATCAGAACAGGGGGGTGGGATCACGGAATCCGAAAACCCAGAAACATCTGAACAGATCCAAGAAGTGGAAGAAGATGAATTGATTGAAAAGGTAATGTTGGATAAATAGATTGAAGTGAAGGGAGATTCCTGGATCCCAGAAAAGTTTCCAGCAATTTGAATGTTTGTGCCTCTCACATTCTGCAAGGTTATGTCCTGGACAATTGGAAGAGCATTAGGGTCAAACTCATCGTCCGGATGCAACCCGAAGTGACCCGAGGCACTGAATGCTGTGGCTATGTTTTCCATTTCAACATCTGAAATGACTATTCCTTTAATGAAACCCCCTCTTCCCTTGGCAGTTCTAAATTGAACGCCACTAGATGAATTGTACAGGTGCACATGCTCCACAAGAACACTAGAGATCCCACCAGACATCTCACTACCAAAGGCAATGGAAGAACCTGAAGATGACTGAAGGTGGACCCTTCTGATGTGTATGTTTCTAGATGGTCTGCCATAGGCAATACCATACTGATCCCAACCACTCTTCAAGGCAATGGCATCATATCCTGTGGCAATGTTGCAGCCCTCTATGCATACATGATCAGAAGAATCTGAAAGCACCAATCAAAACTTTCTTTAGAAAAGACATGCCCCTCTTCACCATATTAATCATAAACAAGAAAGAATTAGGTCTTAGAAGCACTTGAATTCTGGGATTGATCATCATTATTGAAATTCATGTATGTGTAAATTGTGTCCCACCATAAATCTTTTTGACCTCCTAACAACTCCTACTCTAAATACAGTCCAACTCGTTGCCATTTAATCATAACTTAGTTTCTTATGTTTTATTGTAAAAATAGATATTACCACAGAGCACAGCCCTAAAACACAAAAACACAATAACTTGGTGAATTTGGAGCCCGTTTGATAACCATTTTGTTTTTTATTTTCTATTTTTAAGAATTAAGTTTATAATCACTACTTACCACATATGTGTTTCTTTGTAATGTTATCTACATTTCAAAATATAAACCAAACTTTGAAAACTAAAACAAGTAGTTTTTTAAAAAACTGGTGTTTGTTTTTGAAAGTTAGCTACAAATTCAAATGTGTTTTAAGAGAGTTGATAAACATACCAAAGAAACTATAAAGAAGCAAGCATAATTACTATGATACAAAAACTAAAAACAAAATTACTATCAAATGGGACCTTGGTAAAGCGCCATCATACAAGGTGTTGGTATTAGAATATCTGCTAACAAACAGCTACTCTTGATAGCATCTTTTTCTAAGCACTAAATGTTGTGTGTGTGTGTGTGTGTGTGTGTGTGTTTGAGAGAGGGAGAGTGAGAGAGATTCTTCAATGGTGCTCAAGCCATTCAGCCATAGGATGTGTCACATCACTATAAGGCAGAGAGAAAGAAGAGAGAGAGAGAGAGAGAGTGAGCACATCACCAATATACTCGCACAAAATGTTCAAACAATGAGGAAGCTGAAAAAGCATCACAAACCTGGAACAATTCCAACTGTGTAAGGAGATTCAGGAGGTGCAGAGACAGAGATATTGTAAACATAGACATCACTGCACATGAAAAACGTATAATTTAATGCACGTTCTTTCACAAACAACAGATAGACATAAATCAGAAATGTGAGCAGAACCAGCATCGGCAGCAGAAACTAGGAGGCTTTTCCCAACATACCTACAGTAGACTGGATGGATGTTATATGCAGGAGTGTTCAAGAAAGTAAGGTTTGAAACAACCACATATTTAGAATCCTCAAATTCCACAAGGTGCGGGCGGCTGTAATTTAAGGAATGAGAGCTGTACCAATCCCACCAAACTGAGCCCTGTCCATCAACGACCCCATCATCACCTAGCACAATCCAAAATCAACATTGTAACATTTGTTAATAGAAACCAATCGAGTTTCCCACAAACGAGATTCTAAATCAAGGGTTAGAAGAGTGACAAACCTGTTATTACCACATCTTGCAAATTGTACCCATTTATCAAGCTCCTGTATCGTTTCCCTGGAACTTCAATGCCTCTACCGTATGAAGGTAAGGGGTCAACAAGTTCCCAATGGGACGGATCCTGTTTAATAGAAAGATCAATGTGTCAAAAACAAATGTCTAGAAACAAAAACTTGTTTGCAGACGACTTTGTTCATCCATAAAGGGAGAGCATACCTGAGAGCCAAGAATCACAGCACCTTTTTCCAAGAAGAGAGTAAGGTGGCTGGTAAGATTAATGCTTCCAGTGAGCCATTTTCCCGGTGGAACATAAAGCTGAGCTCCACCCTTATCAGCAAAGGATTTGAGATAGAAAATGGCATTTTGGAAGGCAATGGTGTTGAGAGTTTTGCCATCTCCAACAGCACCAAACTCCAAAATAGACACACTGTGTGGTCTTGGATCTAATGTCGGTTTCGAATCGCACTGTCCACCGTTGAGTTCTTCACCGATTATTCTCGCAGCATTGCTCAATTGTAGCAACAAAAGCAATGCCACCTAGAGAGAGAACCAGAAGAAAGTTATAAATAAAACATGAATTGATTGAATCAACCAACTAAAGCAGATAACAAGACAACAGCAATGGTAGAAAAGTAGGGGGGCCAAAAATGAATAGAAACATTAGTGCATTGATGAAAATGTTCACAAATCGCCCAAAATTGCTGATTCAAGTAGATAGCGGATGCAAATTGTTAAAGCACGAGAGAAAAATCGGCAATGGAAGTATGAAACTAATGCAAGAAGAAAAAACAGCAGATCAAAGAGAGATTGAAGCATCAAATTCGGAAATCAATGGGGTCAAACTATCCGAATGTAGAAGCACATCAAATCTGGAAAATTGGAACCTGAAGGAAAATCAACATCAAGGAAATGTTTATGGCGAGAGAGGGGAAAAAGTAGAGGAAGAGAAGGAATACAAATCACGAAAAGTCAAAAAGGGTTTCTGGACCATCTGGAAAGAAACAGAGATAACAGAGCAAAAAGAGAGAACCCGAGGTAAACTGATGCTGAAAAAACATTGAAAAAAAAAAACTAAATCATCCAAAAAAACGAAAAGGGGTTTCACACAAATCTTCAGAGCAGCATTCATTTGGGGGCAAAAAAAAATCCGAGAGCACCCAAAACCAAACTAAACTAAACAATCAACAATCAACAATCAGGAAGTGCAAAAGAATTGAAAGCAAACATTCCCAGATAAAAAGAAACGTACTTACTAGCATCTTCATCGGTCAAAGCCGGTAGACGACAATGACCAAAGGAAAAGAAAACGAGATGAAGAATCCACAACACCGAGAGAGAGAGAGACCAAACAGCAGCAAAAGAGGCGAGGCAGAGCGAGCTGAAGCAGGAAAAAAAGAGAACAAAAAAGGGGTGAGAGTAGTGAACAAATCAAATGGGTATTCGCAAACAAGCATTAATGATATAAATGCAGAAGAAAATCAATAACTTACAAAAGGGAAATTGTGGGGGAAGGAAGGAGAGACAGTATAGGATGTAGGAATGACAGCTTTCCAAATGCACACAAAGAGAGAAGAGATTATAGAGAGAGAGAGAGATGAAAAGAAGAAGTTGGGGGAAGAAATTGTGGGTTGTTCTTCTTCCTCCTCCTCCTTGCTTGGTAGAATAGGATTGAAATTAAAAACAAAAGAAGGAAAATTCATTAAGAATATTAATTGCCACTAATTGGCAATTACCCTCTTTGTGAATATGATTAATAACGTCTCTCGCCGACAAAATTGTTTGAAACGGCCCTCCATCAGGGGAAGATTAGAAAGAAAGAAAGAAAGAAAGGGTGTGTTGTGTCTGTGTAATGTAATGTACTTCCCTTCTGCGGGAGTAAAATTTGAGCGTGGGGACTCTCCTGGCATTTCTGTAAACCTAGGGGTAAAAGGAGGAAAAATGGGAGGAAAAATGGGCAATACTAAGACGACACATAGGGAGCGGTGAGGTTGTGTGAAACCTTGACACGTGGACGGGTGATAGTGGGGGAGTTGACTGTCAGACTGACACGTGGACCGTGTGAAAGGTGGTATGGAAAGTGTGTGACTCGTGAATGGAGGATGAATTGAACAAAATGTAGAATTCTCCCAAAAATATATATATATATATATATCTACTAAATAAATAAAAATAAGTATAACTCAGTTAATTCACGTATATGACTGACAAAAAAAAAAGTCCACATATTGTACTGAAAAATAAATAAATTAAAATAATTTTCAAATTCATAGAGATATAAAAAATTGAGACACCGTAAATTCGACCGGGAGAAATTAAGAAAAATAAGGGAAAGAAAAAAGAAGAGAGAGAGAGAGAGAGAAAATAGGTTTGGAGGAGTGCATGGGGCAATGAGACCGCATGTGGGTTGACAGAAGAGAGAGGGGGGAAATGGGACCCAGAATCAATGATGGCGGAGATGCCAGGCTGGCATCAATCAGTTGACAGAACAACAACAACAACATCACCCAAACAAACACAACGCATCGCACAAAACGGAAACACACTAACAAAGAAAGACTGAGACACACCAACATCAACATCTATTCTATTTCACACCTCATTCTCCCTTTAATTACTACACTCCTCTTTTCTTCTTCCTTTTTTTTTTCCAAAAAAAAATTACTACATCTCCCCGATATAATAAGTAGGTATCTTTATCATTGAGCTATGTATAGTATACCCTTTTGCTCGTTTGCGAGTGTTTAAAATAGCCGATAATGAATTTACGACTTACACGACATGATATTTAGTGGGTGAGTTGATAGGAATTTATGAGAGAAGACAATTTGTGATTTTAAAAAAGTGGTGGAAATTGTGATGTTTTGCGATTATGATTTTTTAGTTCAAGGAATATTAGTGTGAGAGATAAAAACTTTTAACTTTGGGGAAAAATGTTATTGATGTTTCTATCCACCAAAGTGTGCTCAAATTGACTGTAATTGCTAATGTTGCTAACTTGAGTATAATTCGAAAAAATCTTGAATTTAGGTTCAAACCTTCCTATTACCTTGTTTGTTATAATGTATTACTCTAAATAAACAAAATGTTGAAGATTGAAATTTACCCTTGTGAATGAAGTTACTATTTTTATTATTTTTCGTTTAATTATTAATGTTTCATCATGCTCCGTCTCAAGTTCCTGAGAACTAGAACATTTGGAAAATGTATATAGGAAGTCAAAGGAGATGGATTAGAATTATATTTTAAATTTGTGTGAATTTAGGACATAAATGAGTAATAATTCAAAAAATATATACATATATTTGCATCAATTAATGATGCTTTTGACAAAATGATTGAGAAGGAGGAATTTATTTTCATGACTACATATATATATACTCACACATATTTATACGTTTTGTGAAGGTCCTATGAACAAAGAAAATACATTTCAATCAAAAAAAAAATGAAAATCATGTCTATCTATTTTTCTAATTTCATTCTATTCAATAAATACTAAAATTTGCAAAAAAAAAAAAAAAATCATTGAAACCAACTCATTGATGTATCATCTTTTTCATTATTTTGTTTTATATGATCAACAAAAAGAAAACCATATAATTCAATACATATAGAGATTTATTAAAAAAGAAACCTCTAAAGTATTAAAAAAAACACATACACATACATACACATATTCAAACATACTCGAAATTAGTAGAATCAATATTAACATTCAAATTCGAGTAATCGAGACACCCAAATGCCTAAAGCAAAGGAAAAAAGAAAAAAAAAAGTTTGGTTAGGTAATTGAAATGTGAAATTACCCAAAAGAAAAATTGTTAACAAAAAATAAAGTGGGAGAAAATAAAGAAGGAATTGAGATTAGAGTGTGCTTTAGGGGGCATGGTATCAAATGTTAAGATTTATAGAAATGGTCTGAATTATTTTTTGTCCATATTTGGGCTCCATTCCTTTGTCTCTTTCTGAATTTTTCTTTTTTAAATATTTTTTTCTGACCCATCCAGCTATGTGAACCTCATATCCACCTAATTATTTTTCCCCCATTTTTTTAAAATTTAATGAGACGAGTCCAAGCGATTAATTTAATAAATCCCCAAAGTAAACCTAAGTTTTCTTTAATAAAGTTTAATTATACTTGTAATTGGGGTATTGTATTCTACCACATTCTCTATAGATTCTTTAGAGCGGCCGAATGTTGGGTTTAGAAAAATATGAAAAAGAAAAAAAAATAATAATTAAAATTTGGTCCGCCGGGAAGTTGGCCGTTGTGATTCCGATGTGTGGTGGTGACGGCGGCGGCGGTGGGTGGCTGATGAATCGGACCACAGGCTGTCAAACACATCAGCACATGCACATTTATAGAGTGGCATTTTTTTTTTCTTTTTTGGATTTTTCTTGGATGCCCTTTGCCGTTATAGGTTTGCAATTATATTTTTGACTAAACATATTGATTGGTGTTTAATGTTAATAGTATGTTTTTCGAAACTAAAAATTTGATTGAGAAAATCAGATATATTTGTTTCCAATAATACAACGGTAAAAGTAATAGCAAGGGGCAGTGTAAGAGATTTCAATCAATAAAATAATATTGTTAATATTGTTAATACTTTGTCTAGTTAAGTTATGTTCATTTGAGTCGGAAGAAGAGATATTGTTACGTAGTTTGTTTTAGATTTGATACCTTACTCTCGTCTTATTGTACATTTTAATCTTACTCAATCATGATTTGCGTCATTTTATCTATCTCCATCACTCACTCACATAATCTCTTTTACACTTTCTCTCACTCGATCTGTTTGATTTTCACTAAATTTTATCTCTCACTATCCTTTGATCTCTCTCCTTTATCGCTAATCTCTCTCGTTTCTTTGACATGTATCATTCCACTCTAAGATCGGTAAAATAGAAACAATAAAGTTTGATTTGAACTGACAAAGAAAATGGAAAAAACCAACTAAAATCATCCCAACTATTCTTATTACAAAATAAGGAAATACAAGAATGGATAGGATTGTCCCCTTCTCATAGCCTTTTCTTGTTTGTCTTCAATTCTCAACCAAAGAGAGTGTCAAGACCCTTCTAGGGGCAAAATTGGAATGGGTCTCTAGTCCCTTTCCAAATTTTTTTTTTTATACTTAAATCTAATATTATTTAGCTATTGATCAGGTTATTTTACAATTTGGATGAAAATTTTATTAATTGCTTGATGCCTAATATATCTTAGTATAATCTTTAACCATGGTTTAAAAGCTAACATAAGCATAGCTCACCAATTAAGACATTTTTCTCATTTCTTAGAGATCGGAGGTTCAATCTTCCGTCTCCACATTTGTTATACTAAAGAACGTCATTGTTTTTTTAGTTCAACCAACATACAAGCGAGGATCAAAATTTTAATATCGTGGAAGACAATATGTATTTGATCCACTAAAATATGCTCAGATAAGCTTCATCTAGAACTATTCTTGCTCTGTCGTCATATAAAGGATGGCAGGATCGAACAGAAAATTGATGAAATAGATAATTCCCATCTATGATTTTTGCTCCGTCGTTATGAAGGAAGGGGGCAGGACCAAACTAACTGTAGAGACAGTCAAAAGAAAAGAAAAGGGAAGAAGGATGAAAGTTTAGACAAAAATAGAAAAGAGAGG